TCCAAATGATGGTTTATAGCTATGACGAGGTCTTTTACATGATAGAAAAGAGTTCAGCACGGATACATCAGATTCACATTATCAAGAAGTCACAGCTCCAAGGCAATAATTTAATTTCAAATGAGGTCATTTTAGGAATCTACTATCAATCTATAAAGGGAATTTTCGAAGCCCAATCTCCCTTCATATCTGGGAATTGTCTCACGATCATCATAATAATGGCAAAGGACCAATTTTCTCAACAAAATTTAGTGACATTTTGGAACGAATAGGATAAATAGCTATATATATTTCTTAATATATTGGATAGTTTGTGCACATACCATCCGTGCCATCATGGACAGAACCCCCACTTGGCGGCTCTCGCTTCATTCCTGGATGCTCAAGGATAGTACCCCCCGCAGGATGATGCATATTAATTTGATCATGCGTTGGTTGCCACCCAGGAGAGAAAAGTGCATTAGGACTAAAGTAAGCCACCGAGGCAGGATGATAGCCGGATACAACGCTCCCAGTGGGTTGATGTTGCTGTCCCAACGATGAGAGCTGTTGTTGTTGATGCTGTACATATGCTTGAAGATGATCCTGGTAGGCTAAGGATGAGTTGGCTATAGGAATCTCTGGCAGTGGTGATCCAGCAAGTCCTGGATAGTAAGAGGCGGTGCACTGGCCAGAATGCAAAGGAGCCCGGCCAAGTCCTCCGTTGACCTCACACGGCTTATTATAGGCTGATACGACAGATTGTTGTAGTTGCAATTGTAGCTGTTGTTGTGGCTGCGGCAATTGTTGTAGTTGTTGGTGCTGCTGTCTCGCATAGTCATTTATCAGGCTAGTCATTTCAGCCGGGTCTCCAGTATTTGATATCATATGCGTAGGGGGCGGTGGGGCAGGACTAACGGGTGGGGGCTGACGCCCCGGAAGAGTAGTTGATCCATGCGACGTGGCCACGGTGTTGGTTATCGCAGAGATCACGGAAGTGGTAGCAGGGTTTACCACTCGGTTGGCTGTCAGTTGGCTCAGCAAAAAGCTACTAGATGAGGCCCTAGAATGATGGCGTTTCTGTCGGCCTTGCATAGTAGACTCATCTACACGGTGGCCAGCCTTGACAGACTCATCATAGCCATAGCCAAATGAATTAGTCACTTGGAGAGAAGCCATAGTGACGAATTTGATAGTTATAAAAAACTATATTAAATTCTTAGTAAAGGTAGCATAATTTTATGAAAAGATATAACATGTACAATAGCTAATAGAGGATCTGTTGTTATACAGAGTTGAAACAAATTTTTAGCTAGTTTAGAAATATGAATTTGATGAAGACCATACAGTTTTGAGGAAGAAAAAGCGAAATTTGAATACTA